TAGGGTCTCACCCTGGCAGCTGAGACAGGCCACCCCAACCGACTTGGTGGCACCACAGTGTCAACCTTATCAGGATAGGTCTCCCCAGACCGACCCACTGGCTGTGAACATTTTAAACTAACACGAGTCTCATTAAGTGTCCAGTTTAAGGGTATTACACAGAAACATACCAAGGGGGCATGAATCAAATATGTATCTTTATTCATTTACAATAAACTCATAAAGTACATCATTCTGATTGAAGCCAAGGGCATACAAAACTGTCCAACATTGAAACGTTGGCTTCACTATTTATTCTTTTTAAGTGGTTGATGGCTGTTTACATTTTGAAAGCTTGGGCACCATGTAGCTTTTTGCAATTTGACAAAGACATGATGTTTCATTTGTTAGTGTTAGTCCCACAGAGGAGGCTTCAGTTGTTGAAAACAAACTTACGAAAGAAGAGAAAGTAAAACTTCAGGTAAACTTTTTTGAAATAAGAAATTCTTAGCTTGTATAGTTTCAACTTTGGAAGAATCTGAGACATTTCAGCTGGAGTGGTTCGATTTTGGCACCCAAGGTAATAAAATGGTTTTTGCAGCTGGGCATGTTTGGATTTTATTTCCTTTTAAAGCCTCTGGATCTTCTTTTAAATTTCTTGTATATTAACGTTTATGTGAATATTTCTTTTTCTTGAAAAGTAACTGAAATTTTGTTAAAATTATTGATGGAATAAGTTTTACAATATGTTAGCATCCCAATGGTTGTTTACCTATGTATACATGTTCCCTACACCTGATTTTTGTGTTTATATTATTCTACATTACATTGACCCTGAAACAATCTTTCCTTTGTTTCTCCTTGCCTGGCCAGTGAATCTGCTAATGAGTTTGTTGATCTGGTAATCCAGCTGTGTATAGCATTCAGCTCCCTTGTCTAGAATTTAATCTCCCTCTTTAAATACCTGTACTGTCAGAAGCCTTGGTTGTTAGTTATCATCCAGCCCACTTACATGCTTCAATCCCTCTTCACAATTATGTTTTGGGGCTCAGATGTTTTCCAAATTACTTCTTGCACCAAAGCTAATAACTGTATTCATAAAGAGTAACCAATAACATTTGATCCAGAATCTATTGAAATGATATTTCTCATAGCATTGAGGGTGGGCCTTGGAACAATGGTTGGGTTGCTCCATTGTGACCTGGGTGAGGATTTTCAATGCTGCATCCATTCAAACTTCAACTTAAGATGATCTGAAATTGGTTGCCTCTATAGGCAACAGGATTGGTCTGTGAAGTTCTGAAAGCCGGTGAGGATGGAATACAGGGCTTAGATCTGAGAAATGGGAATTCAGATGAGGTTGGAAGTCTCAGTGATGACTGAGAGCTCAGGAACTGGGAAGAGAGAAGAAGAATATCTGGGGAAGTCTCTCGAAAGTTCTCCCCAAGACCCATTTTATAGAGATCTCCACCACTTTCTGGGATCACAGGAGGAGTGATTCCTTACATGTGGGGAACCTCTTGTTAGAGATGCATCCACCAGCTCAGCATAGTTTGTTACTGAAGGAATATTAACTGATGCCAACATGTGTCCCTCACCGTGTGCCTGCACACATGATTTCCTTTCTCCCTAACGCCATTAAGTGTTCAGTTTGTGTTTTCTTGATAAAACTAGGAGAAAACAAGAAGAAAGGAAGAAGGAATGAGGAAGAAGAGAGAAGACAAGGGAGAGGAGAATAGAGGAAGAGAGAAACAATGATTAGAGAGCCAAAAAGTTTGCTAGCGGCACCAGATATTTTATTTATATATTAGGGTGACACAAAATAACATAAAAGAACATAAAAGGACCATAGTGCCCCTGGAGGCACATATTACACAGCTGTTAATAGATTTAATACTCCCCCTCAAGTTGGGAAGTAGATGTTAATCATGCTTGTTCCAACTTCAATAAAGAAAAGAAATGCTGAAGAGAAAGAAAGAAGAAAAAGAAGAAGATAAGAAGAGGAGGGAAGACAAGCAAGGAGAAATCTTACACACCTCTCCTTACAGTTGACCCAGCTTGTATCAACATTTTACTAAAGCTGAAATGACAACAATGCCCTTAGATAAGTTACAGAAGATATAAGAGAGAAAAGTAACAAGGAAAAGACAATAATGCCCCTGTCAACTAATTCTAACAATTCTAACAATGCTCAACTTGTCACACAGGTCATTGTGTCACAAGTGATGAAGGCCCTTTGTGAAGTTGTCTACAAGTTGCTCTTTGGTGTAGATCTCACATATGGAGTGCACACTTCTCCACTTAAAGTTTCTCCCTAATAAAATGTTTGTCCATTTCAATTTGTTTTGTTCTATCATGGAGGACTGGGTTGGCTGTGATATTGATGGCAGCAGGCAGCCTTGTTGTCACAATACAGTGACATAGGACTATTGACTGTAATCCAGAGTTCATCTAACAAGTTCTTTTTCCACATAACCTCTGCAACTCAATGGGATATAGCTCTATACTTTGCTTCTACACTGGACCTAGCTGTCTGTTTTCTACTTCTACATGTGACTAAGTTTCCTTCCACAAAAGTTCAATATCCACTGGTAGATTTTATGTCATCTATTGCCCTTGCTTTTAGTCAACATTTGTATACACTTCAACTATCAAATCCCCATGCTGCTGGAACAACAAACTAGCTCCTAGAAACTTCTTAAGGTACTTATAAATCCTCTTGGCAACCTCAAATTGTGTGGTCCTGGGGTTATGCATGTAGAGAAGATGGGCCGAATGGCCCATAACCACAGTTGTTACTTATCTTTATATTTCTGTTCTATTTTTTTGTTAATGGGCCTGTTAAACTCTTTTTATTTTGTTTAATTAGCTGGCCGCCCAATTAAGGGCCTACTTGTGATTTCAGAAATTAGTGATTAATTCTTAATGAAAAGATTAGGGGAAGGAGGAGTTGTACGAACAAGACTTCTCTTCACCCTTCTCACAACCGAACTCTTCTTCTTCTTCTTGCTGCTGCTATCTCCTTTGATTTCTTCCTTTTAATCAATTTTCTTATTCCTTGGGACTGTTTTTCTTCTTGGTATCAAAGCAGGCCCCCTTTTCTTTCTTTTGGAGAGATGAATCAAATGATTAATTGAAGAAAGATATTCAGCCTAGTTGGTAGTGGTTTCTTGGAGAAAAAAAGGGAAGGATATCCCCCTCTTTTTAATAGTTTTTGGTTTTGCCCAAAAAAAACCCTAATCAATTGGCGCTTAGTGGCTGAAGGGGATCGTTTTGATTACCTTGAAGATCGATCTAAGCTTTGCACAGTTCTGTGAACCCTATAGGGAGCAACTGCCTTTTTTTCTATTTCTCCCAGGTTTTGGGTGAGACGTAGTTGGCTGTTAGGGATCTGTGAAGGTTAGTACTTGGTGCATGTTATTTCCTGTCTTCTTTATTTGTCATCTAAAATTGTTTAAGGAAGATAAATGCTTCTGGAATTGAAAATAAGATGGGCTCAGAGTTCGGACATGTTCCGGGAGCACCTGTAGACTCTTTATTGGTTGTGACCATAGTCAAGCTTGATGGGACTAACTATCTAGCATGATCACAATCAGTAAAAATACCTGTTTGTAGTAGAGGCAAGTGGGGATATATTTTTGGGAGCAAGAAAGCACCAAAGGAAGATGAACCGTCCTATGAGAAATGGTTGCAAGAGAATTACACTGTTATTGGGTGGTTAGTGAATTCGATACAACCGCAAATTAGTCAGCATTATTTGTGGATGAATTCTACTAAGGAAATATGGGATAGTGTTGCTGAAACCTATTCACAAAAACTGAATGTAGCCAGGGCTTATAAGTTAAGAAGTGATGTGAACAATCTAAGGCAGGGAAGAAACCTCTAGCAGTCTACTTCTCAATGCTAAAATCCTTGTGACAAGAGATAGATCTCATGGAAACAGTTGTCTGGGAAAGTACAAATGATGCAGAGACAGAGAAAATTAGTTGAGAGGAATAGGATTTTTGAATTTCTAACAGGGTTGAATCCAGAATTTGATATTATCAAACAAAACAGCCTAGCTAAAGACAATGTATCTTTGTCTCACGCTTATGCCATGGTGAACAGTGAGGAGAGCAGGAGGATGGTTCAGGTTCAAGGGACTTTTCTAGTTGACCATTTTGCTAATATGGGGTTGAAACCTAAGATGACTACAGGTGGTACAGGGAAGGAGGTTATTTGTGAATACTGTAAGAAAACAAGACATACAAAGGATAAATGTTGGAAGCTACATCCAGACCTTCTTCCACCCCGTTTTCAAAAGAAGGTCGAAAATGGGAAGACAAGGAGTGCCTATGCAGCTATAGTGTCATATAATGGAAGGAGTGCCACAGATGAGAAAGTTGCTAGTGAGCAGTTAGCAGTTATGAAGGCGGAGTATGAGAAATATGGGAGGATGATCAGCCACCTCCTCCAACTCTTCAGGCAATCCAACAATATCTACATTTGCTCATTCAGGTATATGTGCTATTGCCAACGATGCAGCCATCTCAGGTAATCGTAGGATCCCTTGGATTATTGATTCAGGTGCTTCTGATCATATGACCAGCATTTCTACCATGTTTAGCTCTTATGACGTACTTTTTGGCCGTGATAAGATTACCCTAGTCGATGGCTCTCTTGCTCCTATCTCTGGCAAGGGGGTTATCAAGGCCACAAACTCCCTTTCCCTTACTTTTGTCCTTCATGTCCCTAAAGAACATACTAATTTGATGTCAATAAGTAGCCTAACTAAATCCTTAAACTGTAGTGTAACATTTTTTCCCTTTTTATTGTGTTTTTCAGGACCTGAAAGTCTCAGAAAGTGATTGGGAGTGGCCATGAGGCAAATGGAATATATCTGCTAGATACTCCTAGACAAAGCCAAGGACATCCTAAAAGAGTTGCTTTTGGGTCTACTAATTTGATGTCAATGGATCTGATCTGATTTGAAATCTGTGATAAAGAGAAGAAAAGATTGTGCAGAGAAGAGAAGAAGAGAGAGAGGTTGAAGAGAATGGGGAGAAGCCAAAAAATCAGATCCGGCCGCCCCTTTCAATATCTTAAATAAAATTGAATACAATGATTAGTATACCCTTAGTAAGTAAGCTATTACTAAAACAGAAGTAAATACTCTTAATTAAACATAAACTAATGGGCCTTGAGCCCAATAAATCTCTAACTAAACTTTATAAATAAAACAAATGTTATCAGCCCAATCTCAAAAAAGGAATGAGGAAGAAGAGAGAAGAGAAGGGAGAGAAGAGAGGAAGGGAGAAATAATGATTGGAGAATCAAAAAGCTTGTTGGCGGCACCAGATTTTTTATTTATATGTTAGGGCAACACAAAATAACATAAAAGACCATAGTGCTCCTGGTGGCTAGAGGTGTAAAGTGGGCCGTGCCAGCATGACACGATTTTGTGGGCCGCCCGTGTCTTAGTGGGCCATGTCGTGCCAGCATGCAGTTCTAGGTGGGTCTTGCCTGCCTGGCCTAGAACCCCCTATAAGCTCAAGCCCGGGCATGGCTTGTAGCACGAGTCCAGGCAGGCCCGCTAAGGCATGGGCAGGCTTTCTAATGTTATTTTGTTTTGCCCTAATGATCAACAGATATGCAACCGCTTTCAAATGATAAACAAATATAATATCGACCAAACACAACCGATTTCATTGCCTAATAAGTCCTCAATCACTCAGACAAGATGAAACTTTTAAATCTTAAATTTTCATTTTAAAATTGCAGGAAAAATACTCAAATGATCTCCAAACACTGAACTATTTATACCAAAATTCATCTAAAATCAGGATGTACCAACTTATATAACTTTTGTTCCAAGTTGCTGTTGGCCATATGGATTGTTGATATCGATCAACGGTGTGCTGATGTTAGCAGGGCCCCCTGTCAGTCGCAAATAGAAGGAAAACACTCCTCTTAATCTCATATGTGCTTTGAAACAAATTTGTCGAATATATTATGTAAGAGAAAATGGGAAAAATAGAGAAAATTGTCAGAAGAGAAGAAAAAGAAAAAGAAAAGAAAGAAATAATGGGGTTTTGACTTGTAAGAAAAATCTCTCTTGATTCTTATGTCCCACTTTCATCAACTTATATTAAATGGTAAAATTACAAAATAACCCCTGATTGGGCTTCTATTTTCAGCTGAAGTACAAAGACCAAAAGGTTCTTCCATGTCAAAATCTGCCTAAAGAACTGGGGAGATTTTGGGGAAATTTTGCTAAATCTCACCAGTATCCTGAACAATAGTCCTATATGTATGAATGTATCTTTGCCATTAAAAAACACAAACTCATCATTTCCTTCCCTGTGGACGCACCAAAAAAGTGAATAAAAGAAAAAAAGAAACAGCTAGATTGGTACATGCACATGTGCATTTATCTCAAATTTGCCTTCATCCAGTCTGATGTATGCTTTTGCTTTTCTTCTGTGTTCTGTCATTTTACATGAAAACTTTTGTTCCAAATTTTGGAATTTGGGTCCTATATTTGTTATTACCTTGTAAAATAAAGGGTGTTATAAAAAGTCACTAATACTTCTTATTTCTTATTTATCAGACTAGGCTGCAACAATTTGAGGCAACACTTAGCATCTCTCCAAAAGATACAACTGCCCTCGAAGTGAGTTTCATCCTAAACTTTTGAAATTTGTTTTGATTAATATTTTCCATGTGACCAGACCCTCACTCATATCATAACAGTCCCTAATAGTGTAAATCCTTGATGTATTTAGTCTACAAGTTCTGTACTTTAAGAGGGGTTATTTGCTTTTTCTTCCACCCTAAGGACATTATAGAGCTTATGATTATGATGTGTCAGTGCTTTCAGCATGAGCGGAAAAATCATGAAGTTGTCTTCTTGGTTCTTGCTGGTGTTTATGGGGAAAGAGAAAGAATGATTTACTCTATTTGTATTTAGAAAGCACACAGGACCGCTTCTCTGGAGGGGTTTAGATGCATTTTTGTGAACTCATTAACAGAGAGGCTTATCTTTTCTAAGTTTCCTGCATGAGCTATCCATCCAGGAAAGTCTCACCTTCTGACTACATCAAATTCAACTTTGACAGTTGTTCTGTTGGACACCTATAAAAAGGCCATTACCTAATATTGGTCCCAACTATCTGGGGTCTTGGGAGGGGTAGACTGAATGTAAACATAATCTCTGTGTGTGTGCGTGTGTGTGTGTTTCTTTTCTTTTTTCTTTGTGCACAAAATAGCTGCTATCAGACTCAAACCCACATTCTCATGCTTGTCAGTCTGATATTTTACCATTGCACCAAGCAATAGCTCCTAATAAACAGCCTGTTGGTAATTCATTGCTATCTGATATTGGTGAGTTTTTTGACATGTAGATGGATGCATACACTTTCTAGCCCTATTGTTATTGTAAATGCAGTTAGAGAAGATCATTTGCATGGGGTTAAAAGTGGCCCCTTCCAATGTTTTTAAGAGGATCATGGTAGAATGTGAGGATGATGGGATGGATTATGGTCTGTGGTTGTCAGCCAATTTCTTCAGAGGTTTTTCTTGGTGGCTAGACTGTATATCTTGTATATGTGGACATTGGGATCATGGCAATTACATAGCTGCTGGCCTTATTGGGAGAGGTGTCATTGATGATGATAGAACATGGGTCCTCTGATTTCTTGAATTGGGTAAAATTGTATGTTGCTTGGTTAGCTTTCAGTAACTAGACTTGGCCTTCCATTCATTATTTGTGTAGGCCATTGGTTTTGGGCAGTGAACTTCCTCTTGCAAGTTTTCTTTATTTTCTCAGGAAAAAACGTTTTTTAGTTATCTTTGTCTTTGTCTTGATTTCTACATATTTTTTGTTTGTCCACTTAACTTTATTTAATAGTGGCTCTATAGGGAGCTGCAGTGACACTTGCAGAATTAGGGGAGTATAATCGAGCAGCCTTCTTGCTTGAGGATTTGACTAAGGTTTTACCCTGCTTTTTTGTTCTTTTGAATTTAATTGCTTTAAGTAATATGTTCCAAGAAAATTTTGAATGAATAATTCTGTTACTGTGTTCTTCAGCAAAAGCCTAATGATCCTGATGCTTATCGTTTACTTGGAGAGGTTAAGTTTGAGCTCAAGGATTTTGAGGGAAGTGCATCTGCCTATAGGAGTTCTGCATCGGTTAGTAATTTCTGATGAAACAATAAATGAAACTAAAAAGTTGTTGGTTCTCTTTCAATTCAAGATGCTTTTTCTATTGAAACTTTATTTTTTATCATCATTATTTCTTAATATGTGGGTGGAGAAATTTATTTTCAATAACAAAAAAACCCATTAAAATTAAAAAAAAAGAAGATACAAAGAAAGGTTATATGAAATAGTTGTAAATCACACCTGCACAAGTTTTGAAAAAAAAGTCAAAAAATGAAGAAGAAGATGGAAAAAAGAGAGTTCAGAAGAGGAATAAGAAGAGAAGGGAAGAAAGCGAAGAAAGAATAGAGTTGATCAAATCTGATTTGTAAAATTCAAGTACAATGACAAAAGTGCCTCAATTGGGTGGCTACTAAATAGACAATAAAAGAAAGAGAGCTGGCCCAATAAACTAAGGCCCAAAAACTGAAAACATTACATACTATTGACTGCACCCATAAAATAAAAGGACTAAGGCCCACATCATCTCTACACTCCTCCTCAAGTTGAGCATAGATATCAATCATGCTTAGCTTGCTTACAACACTCTAGCCTTGCCTTAGGGGCACCCTTGGTCAAAACATCTGCTAAATATTGCTTTGAGGCAATGAAAGGAAGGCAGGCTTCTCATGATGCCACTCTTTCTCTTATGAAGTGCTTGTATACTTCAATGTGTTCTGTTCTATCATGCTATATCGGGTTGTGACTTGTGAGCAATGTTAATAGCAACCTAATTATCACTATAGGCACTGGGGTAGGGATGGTCTAGGTTTCTAACAGTGAGAAGTAAAAGGGATTAATTCAAGGAGAACGACAGGGGTTTGGTGAGCGGTCGGTATTCTCAGAGAATGAAGTGCTCTCCAAGGATGATGGAATGAAGGGAATTCAATCCCTTCCTTCGTCACAAGTCCTGCTGTTTATAGAGAAAGGAAGGACTCTATTCTGAGCCAAAATTCCGGAATATTCTTTTGGCATTTGCTAGCTCGGTTTCCCAAGTTGATCCGGAGGTATTGACATGCATCATCCTACAGAGTGGGGGAGGGGGGACCAATGAATGGCCTCATCCCCACTCTCTTATGGACTTACCACTTGTCACACCAGGGAATAAACTCTAGGATCCTGCAGGTCTGTATAATTTTCCTTGTCTTCTTTTGCAACGATCACTTTCTGTTCTATGATTTCTATTTCTCGTCTCGCTATTAGAGGTTGTGGTTTTGTTACTTCCATAGGGAGTTAGTATGGTGTATTATCTTGCAGCAGTGTCCACAGGTTTCCCCAAGTACACAACCATGATTACTCTGTGGCAGCATTGCAATATTATGTTGGTCAATCCCCTTACAATTGTTGGAAGGGTTAGGATCCATCATATGGATGGTTGAACCATGCTAGATGGTTGGGCGAAATTTCAAAATTTTCTAATCCTTTTAGGAATCGAATTCCCTATGTTTTGAAAAATTGCATTTTTTAGGACCGGTCCTGCACTGAACCGGACCAGATTTGAAACCAAACAAAGAGGGAAATGTGTACCTGATATGGATAGCACAAACGCAAATCCCATGGTGGAAGTTCACGCCCAAATCAATCCTAGAACCAGCCTCCACTAAAGATGACGTAGTGTATAGGTGGAGATGATTCAACAACACAATTTTCAGCAAAATTGCAACCCAACTACTTGGATTGAACTTGGGAATGTGAGCCTGAAATTCCATTGAATTTTTCTTGCAAAAATCAAAAGAAAATTGATCTTTATCAGTCCTTAAAAGCCTAGGTCGTGATAGGGTTTCTTGGAAGACAAAAGCAAAGAAGAGAGAACAAGAGAGTGTGGCCTTCTAGTCTGGTTCGCCCTCTTCTTCTTTTATCTCCTTATAGAGCACTCTTTTAATCAAATTAGGAGATTATCCAAATCTAATTTGGATGTAGACTCTATTAAGAGATAAACCCTATCCTCTTAAGAGGATGGGTGCTCCATACCTATTTCCAAACCCAAATTTGACGTAGAGCATATCTTATTAATTATGGTCCTTAGGCCCATTTCTTTCAAAGGCTCACGACCCAAGATGTTGCAGGGCCAACTTAGGCCTGATTTGTATGTCGTGGGACCCCACAATGACCTCACATAAAGTCCATATGGGTTCAGCCCAACCTCTATGAAAAGGATTAGCCGAATTTACTACTAAACATTGTAAACCCCTGAGCATATCACTACGGGCTCAATATGGGCCTAATATTTACACCTAAATGATCCTTGAATTCAGTCATCCTATCAAGATCCAAGGATAATGGGCTTAAGTAAGATAAAGCCCATAAGGTAATCAGCCTTGTAATGGTCTCTTACACTTAACCTCTCAGCCCATAATGATCACAACACTACCCGACAGGGAAGGACCTCTCCCTGGTTGTAAGGTACAATGCCACACTCTTTGCTCGGATGGATCCCAGGAATTAAAACCTTTTGCAAACATTTTTCATAAAACATAATATATATATTATATATATTATATTATATATATATCATATGATTATATTTTGCAAAACCAAATCTCAAACACAATTGAAATCCACTGTTGGCAGTTTAGGTTTCCATCAGAGAGAGTGTAAGCCCTAGCATTCACTTTGTCCGACAAAGGAGCCGATCCTATCAATATGATCACCCACTCAGATGAATTCTCAGACTGCCCAAACATACCCAAGTTTTGGCATATCAAAGATAGCCCAATCCAACACCTAGTGCAGTACCATAATCAAGTGTAGGGGTTATGTGTAACTTTCCGGTTTTTCCCATCAATCTCCAAAGTCCAGGCATAACTGGAAAATGGTCCAGGTTCAATGTTTCATCCAAACACACACTACATGTGCTTCGGGTTTACGAGTGTCCAGACTCTGTTGGTTTCATCGAGTCCATCTCGACTTTTATGGCATTTACCCACTTCAGGGAGTCTATGTCTAACATAGCTTCTATATAAGTCACGAGATCTTCCTCACTGTCCGTAGCTTCCATCAAGTAAATTTCTTGATCATAGTTGTAACGTATTGGAGGTCTAGAAACCCGAGTGGATCTTCTAAGTTGGATATTATTATATGGAATCTGTGGATTATCTCCCACTACTTCTGAGCTCTCTTCATCAAGAACAACTTCTTAATGGTGATTGTTTAGAATGTAGTTCTCCAAGTAGGCATTTCGACTAATAAACACTTTTTATTCTCGTGGGTCATAGAAGAGATACCCTACAGAGCCCATCAGGTATTACCCTCAATGGTCTTATACATAACCTCTCAGCCCATAATGATCATACACTGCCCGACAAGAGAGAACCTCTCCCTCGGCTGCAAGGAACAGTGTTGCACTCTCTACTTATATGGATCCCCGATCATTACCTTTGTCCGACAAAGGGGCTGATCCTG